CAGACAACCTCTCGTCAATATGCGTTTTTCGCATTGCATTGCTGCAAAAAACGCATAAAAATGTTTATGGGAGCCTACGAATCCGAATAAGTTTCAGAAAAAAAGCACTACAACCGAAAAATCCAAAAACTTGGAAGACTAACACCCATAAGCACCCGAAAAAGAATATACAGTGTTTATCCGACAAATGGAAAGTTGCTGGTCCGCAAAAAAAGCCACACTAGAAAAGTTAATTTTAATTTTTTAGTTGCACATGAGCAGGGAACATACCCTTAAAATCAAAGCCTCCAGTTTTTCCTGTTCCCGAGTTAGCAGTTCTCCCATCAAAATTTTCACGTGTCCGTACGTGAGTAGCGAACGGTTTTAAGGAGCTGAATTTGAAATCTTTGGTCATACATGAGTAGGGAATCTAAAGCATCAGCTTTCTAGCTTTTTTCGTTCCTGAGTTAGTGATTTTCGCGCCAAAATTTCCACGTGCCCGTGCGTGGGTCCCTGTTGCTTCTAAACATTTGATTTTGGTTGTGCATAAGTAGGAAGCATTCCCCGAAGATTTCAGCTTTCTAGCTTTTCCCGTTTCTGGGTTAGTGGTTTTCGTGCCAAAATTTTCACGCGCCCGTGCGTGGCCCTCTGGAGCTTCTAAACAAATGATTTTGCTTGTACATAAGTAGGGAACACTGCCTAAAGTTTCAGCTTCCTAGCTTTTCCCGTTCTCGGGTTAGTAATTTTCGCGCCAAAATTTCCACGCGCTCGTACGTGAGTCCAGGCGCTTCCAAACATCTAATTTTGCTTGTACATAAGTAGGGAACATTGTCCTATGGTTTCAGCTTTCTAGCTTTTGTCGTTCTCGAGTTAGCAATTTTCGCGTCAAACCTTTCTCGTGCTCGTACGCGGGGTCCAGACGTGCGTGAGAGTTGGGATGACACTTGGCTGGGGAGCATACTGGCAAAATTCCAGCTTCAAAGCTTGCGTGGTTAGTGAGTTGAAATACCCGAACACATATACACACACACAACACACACACACTGACAGGGTCGTTGCAATATGCGTTTTTGTTGCCTGTTGCAGCGCTTTAGCGCTGCACGGTAAAAACGCCTAATGATATGGTCAGAAATGATTTGAGTTCGGTATCAATTTTCGCAGCCTGGAA